TCTGGCGCATTGTGTGTTTGTTGAATATAATGGAACTCAGACACCGGGAAATCTTCACCCTCACGAGTAGCAAGAGTTTCAAAACGTGGCATCATCTCATCATTTTTCTAGTTACAAGCCATTCCACAGCATGAAATCAGAATGGTAAAGGCCAGTCCTACCTGCAACACACTTTTGTGGGTGGAAAATGCATAAGTTTATCCATCAATTAATAAGATGGATTTTGTAACATTTCACGTGATGTGATATCTACCTTTTTTCACTCGAAAGTTTATTCAAAATAATTTTAAATAATCTCAAATTTAGACATGCAACAAAACACCAGACATCACGCGACAATCACGGGAGTAATGAGGCTTACTTGCACTGCCAATCCCAAAGTACAAACGGCAGACGAGATTAGGCATCGGTAAAGCTGTATCACGGCTCGGGCCCTGGAGTCGAGAGACACGGAAAGGCGAAGCAGTCGACTACTTGGTCGACTCAAATGCATTTTAGGTTGCAAAGTCAAACATTGTGTTGGGCTTTGATTCTGGTTGAGAGGGGGCCTTGTCAAAGTCTAGCTAGCTACGGTTACACTTAATGTATGGTTCCGCGCGCACGTTAGAATCTGTAGTCGTCCGCGATTCAAAGTCGCAGGTATTGCTTCGCCACTGCTTCGCCAGATTTTGGAAAACTTGCAAGGGACTCTCAATATGATAAAGGTTATTGGTGGACCTTTATGGCTGACACAGCAAAGAAGCAAAAAACAGTATTTGCAGGAGAGGCTACGCATGTTTAAGCGCCGTCCCGCCAATTAACCGATTTCCCTACTACGTGCACATCCCTGCTATATACACGATCTCGATCACCCATTTTGAATAACTTTAAAAATTAATAACAATTCCAATTTATAAGATAAAGAACTAGCAATTTAATTGATAAATAACAAAATATAATAAAATCTTTAGATTTTGAATTTCAATGAAACTTGTAATGCTCATCCTTTATTAAATTATAATATAACCTTTTTCTTTTTTTTCTTTAAATTATTAACCTTTACAGTATTAAAGAGCTTTATAATCTTTATTAATATTAAATCTATAATAGAAAAAGTTTTAGGAAACTTTTTATCTCTTTTGATTAAAGATTTTATTGATTTTAGAGTCTTTTTAACCTTCTTTTTCATATTATATTGTTACGACGGCATCCAACATACCGCATCACATGATCAGAAAGTCACGGGATTAGGGACTCCCACTGGATCCCACTGCTCCTACCTGGTGGGACACAATGGGATCAATAGGACAACAGAGAATGAAGGTCTATATAAGAGAATAGGTTTCATTACAATATAAAGCTTTATACTCAAGAATAATCATTAATTTTATTACTATAATTATAAGAATTATAACTAATTATAACCTTATTGAATTTCTATTTGAAATTTAATCTAAATCATCTCAAGAGAACTCTAGACACTTCCACGTGACCCTAGAGGCAGCTCCTGTAACATATATATAATCTGATAATCAATTTTTCTTTACAATACCCTCTTTTTTTGTTTCAATCTCCTTCTATTCCTTTTCAACTTTCTTTTTAGATTTTATTTAAAACTTAGCTTCCTTCTTTTACTCCTCTTTAAATACTTTATTTTCTTAATATACTTTAGTTTTAATAATAATAGAAAATAATTATAAAAATATATTATTTCTCTTTTTTTTAATAAAATTTAAATACTTTTAATAAGCTTTTTTTCCGTTTTTTAAGCTTTAAACTTTTTTTTAAATCTTTAGATCTATATTTTTATATAGAAACTTCAGTTTTTAATATAATTACAGCCTTAAAAAGCTTTAAAGTAATTTTATAAATAAAAATATAATGAAATTCTAATTTCATTCTATATATTGTTTTTAATGTATATAGTGTAGTAAAAGTATCCCTACAAGTTTTAAATAATATAGGTAATATAAAAGAAACTTTTGGAATAATATAGTTGATTATAAGACTCTTATTTATAAAATATATACTCGTTTTTCAAAGAATTATAAAATATTATACCTTGTATAAATAAGCTTCTAAACCTTTTTAAATATACCCTAAAATATATAATTTATTATACAATAATTCTCTTATTATTATATATCAAATTATTTAATAATATACTGTAATTTATTGAAAAGATATTAAAGGTTTTAATATCAAAAGGTTATAATTAATATATAAAATAAAAAGAAAGAATTAAAACAATAATCTTTAATTTATTATATTTTGAAAGGAATTTTATATTAATATAATTAAAATAATTAATAATAATAAATAAACAATATCTTCCATTTGCTTTTTAATATGTAATAAGATCGAATATGTTTATAAGTTAATATAAATTAAAAGTATTCAATAATTATTTATTACTTAAGGCTTCAAAATAGACTTTATCCTTTTCCCCTGTTACGGGAGCTGCCTCTAGGGTCACGTGGAAGTGTCTAGAGATCTCTCGAGGTGGTTTAGACTAGACTTCAAGTAGGAATTCAATAAGGTTGTAACTGGTTGCAATTCTCGTAACTATAGTAATGAAACTAATGATTGTTCTTGAGCACGAAGCTCTACATTGTAATGAAATCCCATTCCCTTATACAGATCTTCGTACTCTGATGTTGGTTGGAGTTTCTTGGAGTCCTGGCTCCTGGGGACTCCACCACGTGACACTTGTCACATGGCATTCTGTTACCCATCGTAACATCCCCTACATCCTAAACCCATATATCTTATAGATCCCCTAAATCTTCTTTATAAATAAGAACAGAAGGGAGAGCTATTCTATTAGTATATATAGTTGTCAATAGGGTGATAAACTCTTTTGATTTATCTTGCCTAGCTTTTATCATTTTGCCTCTATTATAGGCATTAGCACTTATTATCCTCTTCATAATCCTACTCATACTAATTATAAAGCTTTTCTCATACTAATTATATATATCTCTCGACCATATATCGTATTTTATAATCACTTTTATTAACTAAATTAAAAAAAGAGGGATATTAGCAAAAGCGTTTTAAATAATAAAAATCAATAACAATAAAAAATAATTTAAACTAAATTATAAAAATAATCAAATATAATAATATTATTGACTTTTATATATAAATTATCAATATAATGAAGATATCGACTTTTAAGATATATTGAATACCTTTTAATAAAATTACTAGTTTAATTCTTTTCTATCTTTTTATTTAAAATCTTTTCTATAAGGGTTTTAATTATATAGCTTATAAGAAGAATAGATTTTTATATTAGCTTATTAATTTAATTAATTAAAACCTTTTTCTAATTATTAGAAAGTATTTGTTTTATATTAAAAAGGAATTGTTTTTTTTGAGGTAATTTTATTTTTATATTATTAAGAAAATATGGATTAATCAATTTTAAAGAAATTAGCTATTTGAATGTATTTAGAAGTTTAAATCCCTTTTAAATAATCTAATATAAACTTTATATAAGCCTTTAAAGGTATATTATTAATGTTTGAAGCTATAATATTGATATTTTCAAAGTTGTATATATAATAGGAATGTGTATATATGTTACGGGAGCTGCCTCTAGAATTATGCGGAAATATCTAGAGTTCTCTTGAGATGGTTTAGATTAGACTTCAAATAGGAATTCAATAAGATTATAATTGATTGTAATTCTTGTAATTATAGTAATAAAACTAATAATTGTTCTTAAGTATGAAGCTTTACATTATAATAAAACCCCTTTCCTTATAGACCTTTATACTTTAATCAAATCAATAAGTCTACTTGACTATTCAAATCGACAAATCAAATCGACTTTTCTTTACATAACATTTGTCCTTGTGATCTAATAAGGCTACTATTCATTTAATCTATACTTACTAATTAACCTATAGCCACTATATATCCTGTACCTATTATAGAATAAATGCTAATAAAAGATAAATATTTATCTTTTAATCACTACTTATTTATTCAATTATCATTATCTTTAATTACCCTTTAATTCAATTATCCCTATAATACTGTTTTCGTAGGTTCCAATATCAAGGCCTTAGGTTTATCTTATAATCCATATTGCGGTGCGGGTACCTCCGTAACAATATAGTAGGGAAATCGGTTATGTAGTGTTTCCCAACTTGAATGACATCTCAACCTCGAATATCGATCAATTATCATGAATGATCTGCAACTGATTGGAGCCTACATTGTGGGCTCTAGACGCCACAGAAGTGACGTAGGTAACACTGCTCATGTTAAATATCCGAAACAAGATACTTCAGACGCGTCACGGAGGACATCATATTGGTGAAGTCCAAAGGCCCAAACGGAATCTTAAGTACAATCATTGGATGAATAGGCTATTTGCAGCACCTTTTATTGGAGGCCTAAATCTCGCATTCACTGAATTCTATACTTGGTCACCAACCACGCGTCTTGTCTTGTTTTGATATGAGCATTTAGAAGTTTCGAAAAGTTTCAAATTTCCGCGTGTGTTACACCGACTGCGCCATACCTTGATTATTTAATCATATTGGCTAAGGCCGTTTTCTGGTAGCCTTCCATGCAAATGCGGGACATTGCAATCTACAAGGTCCCGATAACCTATCGATCTGTGCTTCTCTGAATCCATTCGCGGCTTCAAATGCAAAATGCCGAATATTACATCAGCCCAGTTGTATTAGCCTGCTCCATGCAGCTCGAGAACGACCAGAACTCAATACTGTATTAATCCTCAATCCATGCCCATGAGTCATTTGTCCCAATGAAATATTGTGGCGTTGAAAACGTGTTTTAATGTGCGGGTAGACACATCATGTTGCTTTATGCTTTAAAACGTGATGAATCTAAAGGCCCAACTGGAAGTGCACTAAATAATCATAGTTCGTGCTCGTGTTTACTTACTTAATATCGAAGATGCTCGAAAATCACATTATAAAGGAATTTGAAAGATGTTTGAAAATAATCCAGGCCCGCAGACTTCTCCCATAACCTTCAAAATGGATTACAGTATTCCTCCGATGACACCATTTGACACACCACCCAGTATCACATATGTACCTCCGATGGCAATCAAGAAAACCACACAGGACGAAAGATCTCCCATTCAGATTCATGATGCGGCAACATTCGAAGGACAACAAATTGGCGCTATCCTTCCAATCAGGAGAGCATTAAGACCCACGGCTTTCTGTTCACCGCTCGCAAAAGTCGGTGATTATGTCGAAATTCTGGCTAACTACAACGTCAGTCAAGTTGAAGTCAAGAATCTTCGTACTGGTATGTCAGGAACCATCGATTGGGAGGATCTGCTTCCGGTTCCGTACGACGGAAAATGCGGTTGCGTGGGTGGAGGATGTCGATGTATCTACGAAACTTGGCAAGTATATTCTGCACGCCGTCCACCGAGACTGACGCCCGTTTATGGTGGTCAGGATATGAGCGGGTCATATGGTATGGATTTTAAACTTCCCACAGAGGAGGAGTGGATAAAGGTTGATGACGTCAATACCAAAACTTACACATCGACAGCTTCGCCTCTTCAGACGTCTAATTATCAAAATTTCCCATTATATACGACCAATTTTACAACAAAGACACTTCCAGATGTGAACGACCCCTTGACAGCCGCCGGACAAACACCCGGAGCCATTCTAGCTGTGAAGCAACAAGCGCACTATCCTCACGACTTTGGCCCAATTCTAGAAACTGAAATCGGAGATCGATGCAAGTTTCTCGAAGCCTGCGAGCGAGGTTGGGGCAGAGTGAACGTTAAAAATCTCCGCACTGGGAAGGAGGGATATCTGCGATGGCAAGCTTTCAAGCCGGTTAATCCGAGAAATACATGTTCTTGTCTTAACGCCTGGTGTTACTGCGAGTATGAGGATTTTGAGAAGAGCAAAGCGTATTGCGAAGCTCATAGATTATGAAATGAATTGGGTTGTGGTTGTGTTGGATGACGTAATGATGTTATGACTGGTAGAGGTTGTTGGATAGGATGATGGATTCCCACTTCACTTAGATACTTTAGGCAATTGGGGAATAAGCGTGCATTCTTTTGGAAAGATCACTCGTTTTAATAACTGGTGGATCTGAGATGCTACTCTGTGTTGAGCTTACGATTGCTCGAGATATTTGTTAGTCTAGGTAGCTCAACAAAGCCACTACTAGTAATATTTCAGTATGCGATGACCAAAATAGATGGTACAACGATTTTAATCATAGTTGTGTAGGTTTAGCGATTTATTTCAACATATGATATGTTCTGTTCCAGATGTAATTGGATAAACTTCCACCCAAGACCCCCCAAATTGGGGCATTTCCAGTATGCAAATTCCCGCCTGCAAGCACTCATAATTCTACGCGAAGCCACTGCCTTGGCTAACCCACTGACTTGGCGGCCCAAAGTTTGTGCGGGGTCCTAATCTCGTTTCCCTTCCTACTGCCACTTTTATTTTGATTTGACCTTTCACACTAAAAAGAGCCATCGGTATCCAACTTCAGGTACGAATACACTTAAGGAAATTCTAAGTGGTATTGTTTCGAAACCAGTTTTCTTGTTCACAGCTACGAGAGATTGTTCGAGTGACGGTTATGTGAGTGTTCGACTAGGTGAGATTCTTTAACTTTCCGAAACGACTATCTAGCCTAAACTTGGAGCAATTATCAGACTGGGAAATGAGATAGTAGGGTAGATAGAGCCCAATGAGATAATTCGACAGCTAGAAACGAATCAGTGCTTAGATAATAGAAGATAATTTCTTCATCAATTTGAGCTAGACCAAGTAAAATTAGCTTAGAGAACGGACACAGAAGATGGAATCTAGCACAGAGGATCGCCTTTCCACCCCCAATTTTATAAGGTGGACATGACGGTATTAATGCCTAAAATTCGATGTAAGCGCAAGCGAGGTGTATGATAGAGAGCAAAAATAAATTAAAAAATAGTCCCATTGCCGGGTCACAACACGATGTAGCTATATCGTACTTTAGACACGGATGTGTAGTATTTATATTAAGTCGGGTACCCTACTTTCGGGCCACCCCCCTTTTGGGCCACTTTTTACACCAAAAATGGAATTTTTAACTTTCTTATTTATGAATAGAATTTATTGAAAATTTATATATATATAATTCAGATCGTTTTGAATCTAATCTGAAATTTTGAAATTTTTAGGATTTTTCTGTATTGAAATCTAGAGCTTCAAAATATCGATTTTTAAATTTGTATGAGAATTACATACAAATTTAAAACTTTTATAAAATCTTTAATAACTTTTTAATAAAAATTGCTAAAAATAAACTAAAAAGTTTTATTATAAGTTTATAGTATATTTACTTTAAAAGATTAAAAAAAAAAAAAAAAACTTCTTGTAAATAAATATTTAAAAGAATACCCTCAAAATTATAGAAATTATTTATACTACTCTAAACTCACTGTATACTATATCTCTATATCTGTTAATTTTTTTTAATTTTTTTTTTAATTTCTATATAAATTTAAATTCAAAACTTTCAAAAAGATATACAGTTTTCTTTTAATAATTGTTATTAAAAAGTTATTAAAGATTTTATAAAAGTTTTAAATTTATATATAATTCCTATACAAATTAAAAAATCGATATTTTAAAGCTCTAGATCTCAATATAGAAAAATCCTAAAAACCTAAAAATTTCAGAATAAGCCTAAAATGGCTTAAATTATATATGTTCAAATTTTTATTAAATTAGATTATATATTGATAGAGATATTGATAGACTAAAAAAGCGATTTTTGGTGTAAAAGGGTGGCCCAAAACAGGGGTGGCCTGAAAGTAGGGTGGTCGATTTAGTAGTCGAGGTTTAGAAACAGTCTTTTGCCAACAATTTTCGTCATTCATTTTCAGGACTTTAAATTTCTGTGTATCTTCGAATTAGATGATCACAATTGCCATCCTTTCTTTGATTGCCCACCTACAAACTTATTGAATTGTGATACCTAGGTAGGTAGTATCTGATTTTGAAATTGGTGTGTGACGCCACACTTTACTTTCCACAAATGTGGCTGGAATTTGAATCCACACTATGTCTCGAAGAATTCTACGATGGCGATATTCCAGCATATGCAATTCTTTCACACCGATGGGGCAAGAAAGAGGTAACATTTCATGATATGCAAGTTGGTGATTGTACGAATGAAGAAGCACTCGCAAAAATTCAAGGATGTTGTAGGCAGGCCGGACTAGACGGTTGGATGTATGCTTGGATTGATACTTGTTGTATTGATAAAGCGAGCAGTGCAGAGCTCTCAGAAGCTATCAACTCCATGTTTCAATGGTATCAGAAAGCAGAAATTTGCTATGCTTATTTGAGCGATATTGAAAAGCATCCTCATCCTTCAAAACCGGTAAAACTAAAATCCAGTGATTGATTCACAAGGGGTTGGACACTGCAAGAACTACTTGCTCCACAAAATTGGCCTTCTTCGACCGAAACTGGTATCTAATTGGTAGTAAGGAAGATCTTTAAGATGACCTTCGAGCAATTACTGGGATTTTGGACATGAATATCTGGAGAAGCGCTTCTATTGCCCAAAAGATGTCTTAGGCTTCTCGAAGATCGACAACCAGGGTTGAAGATCAGGCTTATAATCTCCTGGGTCTATTCGACGTTAACATGGCCCCATTATATGGAGAAGGCAAGAAAGCCTTTATGAGACTTCAACTTGAGATATTGGCTATATCTGATGATGAATTAATATTTGCATGGAGAGATCCGAGTGAGATAGGAGGGGGGGCTACTAGCTCATTCTCCAGAAGCTTTTCGCGACTCCGCCGAGATCGTCACTAAAGTATTTGACACCATACAAAAACGGAATTCAAACTCAACGAGAACACCGTACATTATGACGAACAAGGGCTTACATTTAGGAGTCACCACTTGCAACACCTTTCACAGATTGTTCTTGTGGTTATGTTAGGCATCTCGCACACGAATCTTCCGCCTACCTATCAGACACCAAGCTTGCCCCTCTACAATGTTGCTATGAGGGGAATACCAATTCAGATAACCCATACGTATTGGCAGTATACCTCATTCACAATAGTGGTAACGAATTCTCGAGAATCGATCCCGAGTCCATCGAGATAATTGACATTCGTCGACTCGATAGAAGTCCACTCTCGCACGTGAAAACTGAAACAAGTCCGTGCCTGGACAAATTTGAATATATGGAAAATATGTTCGTCAGGCAGAATCAACCTATCAATAGGGTCCTTGAACCTTATGATTTTTGTACAGAGACCAAGGCATTGGCAGAGTTAGGTTTTACTACGATGACCGAATGGCTATCTACTACTCGACAGACGAAAACAACAAAATCTGAGCATGAAATACGAATGCAAACCAGTCAATTACAGCCAAATGGTATGACGGCCATAATAACCTTCACTCAGGGTACTAGTATGGAAAGAGGCTACTTGGGAATCCACGCGTTTGTATTCAATATTACGATTACTTCACGCGGATCTCTCGTTAGTTTGATGGAAGTACCAGTGCATCAAAAGCAGAGATTACTTGAGTATGAACAAGAGAGTTTCAGTGATAGGAGAGCACCACATGCAAAATCTCTACTCAGACGACTTTATGCTGGGAATTTGGTTGCCCCAATACTTACCAAGGTCGAAGACTGAGGTATCGAGTTCACTTTGAATTTAAGAAAAAGGCTTTGTAGACTCGTGGTAGTGATAGAGATAGATACAGCTTCAAAGATGTTTTCAGTGGGTTCTGGGCAGCATCTTAATACAAAAAGTAACTAAAAAGTCATCATGCCAAATCTTGGAATAAATTCAAATCACATTCGATACTTGCCGGCTGTTGCACAAGACCTGCTGCTTCGTAAATATATATAGCCGACAGATAATTTGCCCATGAATATGTCTTGAGTTAAAATGAGAATCCAAGAACCGAGGCCGTGCTACTATTCACTTCTGTCTATAAGATCGGGAAGCTCAACTGATCTCCAGAATATGGATGCATTACCAGTTCTCTATCACTTGGCAACCCTACTTCACAAGTGATTCCAACCCCATTTCGAAGGACAAGAGTCTAGATATGCAAATCTTTATCAAACGGGCGATTTCAAGGCGCCAGAATTTTCGAATCTGAGTTTGCGAGTATCAGGTTTGCTCTCGGCTGGAGATGATACAATTCGATTTAATATATTCCAACGGCAAGAACTTTGCTTGTAATCACTTTATTGGAATTTGGCGGTTTTAGTATATTGCTTCGGTGGGGCAGCATTCTCAAGCTTACCCTGACGCAATATTCATTTCTCCCACCGAACTCGCGCTGGAAACACTCTCGCCTACATCGCATACAAAAAGAACTGCACGCAGTAATGCAAGGTAGATCATAGTAATTGGGGGACCAACAAAACCATCTGTGCCCTGCGTATGCCCTGCGTGTGCCCTGCATTTACCCCGCCATGCACCACTATTTACATTGTCCTTGACAGGCTCAGAATTTGATGAATTGTTGTAGAGCCGACCCAATGATGAAGGGGAGAGCATTCCACCGAAATGAATGCCCCGATTAGTAAGGTGGCAGTGAGATTTGTTTTTAAATGAGACCTGAACTGGATGCTCAAACATTTTGAAATTTCAGTGGTTGCGTAAACCCCTTGTAAGGCAGATTGATCAGCCTGTCGCCTGACAGTACAGATGCAACGTAGTGTAAGAAATTGCCCATACGAATTGTCTCCAATTGAGAGTTGATGCCAAGATAGAAGCCTATAGCACGACTGAAACCCTACCAGCCGGCAATGATAGAAGAATTTATACCTCCGTAGAGAGGGATTGACAGGACAGCACTCAACAACTGCAGAGTTGCAAGCTTGATAAACAGTTTCTTGTATCGATAGATACAGAGCAAGCTTCAATTGCCATCAAGTGCTTTTGTCTGGTATTGATAAGAATCTAATACCTGAATTATACATGGCTCTCGATGAGAGAGCCTATGCTCACGAGTAAAGGATAATATGAAGAGGCTAGAAGGCACTCTTGATGTCCTGTTGATATTGGAATTATTCGGTTGGTTTGCAGGCTAATTTTTGATTGGATAAAAGTTTCACTTAAAACTGAATCCTGTCATTCAAATGGGATGATCTAGTCCTAAACTTGTCATCTTTGAGAATATATTTCTACCAATTTCAAAGAGCTTATGGATTGTCAATTTTCTTTTCCATGACCAAAAGATTAACTATTTGGTTCATACTTATAAATACCTTACTTGGACCACCATTCGGAATAACAGTTTCCCCGAACTCCACCATGGATTACTTTCACCGCTTTACCTCTGGTTCAAAAGATCAAGCTCAAGCTTCGAACTCTCAATCCCTCTCCAATTGTACCAATTCTGCACCTTAGCAAAAAATGGAGAACCATCGACAGCAAGAAGAGTCTGTCGCTTCTGCAGTATCTTCTCCATCTGAACCCAAGAAGCCAAGAAAGAAGAAGGTTCTGTTGATGGGTAAATCGGGTTCAGGAAAGAGTTCTATGAGAAGCATTATATTTTCGAACTATGTCGCAAAGGATACAAGACGATTGGGAGCAACAATTGATGTCGATCTAAGCCATGTCAAATTTCTAGGAAATTTGACACTCAATCTATGGGACTGTGGAGGGTGAGTTCTTGTTATATGATAATTTCCAGCTTTCTATAAACATGGGGTGCGGGGTACTAGTCGCAAGTTACATTCGAGTTTTGGCAGACTTTATCAGATGTCAAATTGGTCCCCATACTGTTCGCAGATCAATAATGAACTTTCCATATCATTATAGTCTCTATTGCTGCATTTTTAATATTACACTTTTGAACGTGGCTAACAAACATCTAGTCAGGATGCCTTCATGGAAAACTACCTCTCTCAACAACGTCAACATGTATTCTCTAGTGTCGGCGTCCTCATCTACGTTTTCGATATCGAATCTCGGGATTTCGATCGTGATCTCTTGACATATCGTTCGATCATTACCGCGCTCACTCAATTCTCACCAACCGCAAGTATCTACGTCTTGATTCATAAGATGGATCTTGTCCTTCCGAACCAGCGTGAGGATATCTTCCATGAGAGAATCTCACTCGTCCGATCTAAATCAGAATCATTCAATATCGTTCCATTTGCAACATCTATCTGGGATCAATCACTCTACAAGGCATGGGCGGAAATCATTCACGATCTAGTTCCTAATCTCGGAGAAATCGAAAGACATCTCTCTTCACTTGGTACTATCATTGAAGCTGAAGAAGTTCTCTTATTTGAGCGCTCTTCTTTCCTTGTTGTCTCGAGCTGGACTTCCCCAGAGGGAGAAGCAAATCCTACCACTGATCGATTCGAGCGTCTTTCAAATATCATCAAAAACTTCAAACAAAGCACCTCTCGTTATACTGGTACACCCAAATCCGCCGAACAGTTCAGTTTATTCGAATTGAAGATGCCAAACTTCAGTATGTTTGTCGTTAAATTTACAACCAATACATACCTTGCGGCCATCCTTCCACCGGGAGAGGAACGCTTCAATTGTGCTTTGGAGAATGCGAAGATTGCTGCGAGGGATTTCGAAGAACTTGATAGTCCAGCGAGAAAGAGTGCTGATAGAGGTGCAACAAGTACCGAGGCTGGAATTGTTTAGATGGATATGAAGATCGATCGATAGATAAATGCTACTTTCAGATATGACGATATGATATGACACAATACAATGCAAATGGGATCTGGCATGGCGTTGGATTTGGGAATACCCTTGGCTTTTCATGTATAATAAGATGGCAGGGAAGGAGCATCGGCGGGGCGAAATTAAATAGTTGCTAATAAGGTTTACTCAGGTATCCTATGCCCGTATGACTGTGACTCAAGAGATATGCCATGTTTGTGTGACGGTGCCACATCTCGGAACATAGGTACACACTTTCACAGACATATGCTCGCGTGCGGTGATATTTCGAGGCTAGTCACAAGTGTGATGATTTTAGACGAGATTATATTCGAGCTAATTTAAAAACAACAACGTCAACAAAGAGGGTGGCTTTTCACAATTTGAAGTAATATCATTATTTTGGTGTTCGATTGTGGCCTTCAAGTCCCAACACTCACGCAAAGGAGTCCAAATCCACACCGAGACCACAGAGGGTAGTATCTATAGCACATGTCAGTATCTAACCGCGCACATCTCAAACGGGAGATAGAAGGAATGAGAAAGAGATCAAAGTATACCGAGACTATACTGCTTAGCAACCGCTTTTGTCCAACCCCCCATAAAGGTAGTCACTGTATTTACACCCTCTTTATAATCCTGTTGCACAGCCCATAAGGGCAAATCACTTCCAATGTCTGTACTCCTACTGGCAAATATACCGCTCCATTGATTACCATTTGCATAGATGCCCCATCTCAATCCTGTGGCTTTCATTGCTGCGACCCATTGCTTGGCGAGCTTTTCGTTGGCCGCAGCACCGAGATTCCAGGCATTGCAGGGAGAATTGGAGACGGATGTGGGCTCGATATCGAGCCAGAGAGTGTGGATGTTCATATTGTTGTCGGAGATTACTTTGAGGTATTCGGCCATCTGGGTATCGACGCTCTTGCAGTTGGGCTCGGAACCGGTTGGTGTACCGGTGCAGGGGAAGAGGTAGGAGTCGATGCGGGTGAAACCAGCGGCTTTGGCGTTTTTGTAGGAGGCTACGAAGTTCTTGTCTACTTGGCCGCCGGTTCCGCAAGCTTGCTGGTATCCCCGTATGGCGACTACGTCTTTGGTTTTCTTGGCGCACTCGAAGAATGCTGAGGTGCCCAGTTGGGATATATCGATACCTAGAGAGCCCGCACCGGTAGATGGTGGAGTAGTACCACCGCCACTCTTGATGCAGCACTAACGATTGTTAATATATGGAACTTGGAAAATGTGATACAGGCGCACCTGAATATTAGCCGGTCCGGGACAAAGACCGCTACTGAAAGAACCACCAGAGCAGGCGACGGATGTCGCTTGACATGCACCCTTTCCGCTGGAACATGTTGCTACGCAGCATTGATTATCGACACCTCCTGGACAAGCACCAGCGATGTACTTTCCACCTGAGCAGGAGCTAGAAGTGCTCTGACAGAAGCCAGGACCGCTAGATGTTGAGCATGCAGTTGATGCTCTAGGAAAAAGAGGGTTGCTAGAAGCGACAGCAATGATACCTGTGAAGGCAATGAAGATCTTGGAGAAAGACATAGTTGACAATTTTGAACTATCGAAATGAGAAAATATCGAAGAAAGAATGAGAATAATATTGCATACTAAGTAGAAAGCTGAGAATAAGGTATATGACGATGCTACTTTCCTATATTTTTATATCTTCACTTATTCTCAACGATCAGCCTCATATTGGGCAGGATCGTCACCTTCATTTCCACATTCTTCAGCCTTGCACAGCCTTATCGTCATTGTGTGTCATGCTTCTCTCTTGAGTGACGGTGGTAAAATTCTGCCGCCTGGTTAGGATTCCAGAATCCTTCCGCTATTGTTCGTATTCAACGGCAGAACAGTTTTTAGTGTATCGTTTCAATCCTTAATCTCCCCAAAACGCGGGGCGAGAACATGGGGTATGTAATCTTGTGTTACATTCAGCCGCTGCCATCACTTGAGTGGAATTCTGGACACCCTGACTTTGTGTGAAGCTGGGGATAATGGTAATGCATCTTCCTTGAGATATACGTGTTCTATGAGAAGTTGGTTGATGAAGCTCTCATGATCATTTGTAGGAGGGAAAGGATTGAATGGGTTTTGAGGAAATGCGGGTATGCAACCTTGAGCAATGTAACGCTTATGTAATTTTAATCTTGGTTGCATGCATGCTGTACCACCTCAACAACCCCAACTAGAATCGTTGATAATGTTGTTACCGTTCTAATGTCGATCTATTTTGGTACCAGAAAATCTCGAATCTCGTTTCCACGACCACTGATGTTATGACACCTTACCATTGATCGTCGGTGCTTTTCTTGGAGTGCGCCAGCAAGATCCTTCTGTCGCACAGCTGAAATAAAGCCAGTTTCGGCTCATTCGTCGGTGTTTATCCATTCCCGATTCATGCCGTTAGCATCGACATCACACACAAATCATGAGAACTAAGTTCTGTTCTGCATGTTCCAGAAGCCTGAGATCAATCACATTGTGTAAATGTGATGAATTTTGCCTTTATGCGCTGAATGTCATTGAAATACAGAAATCAAATTTGCTGGACCGAATCGACTGTTCATGCCGATAACCCCTTCATGGAATGTCCCGATCATCTCCATGGAAAAACCTCAAGATTGCGCCAGCAACAACCAATCCATCGTGCCTGAAATGCGCGCTATCCTTCGCATTTTTTGCAACCTCCTTATCCTTAATTCCGCCACTCTCGACGCGCATTTCAATTTCGAGATGCACCATATCTCCGTCAAACCCAAGATGTCCTTGACTCGTAAACAGTCTCTCCCTCAAATACAGACCTTGAATCTTTGTATGTTCCGTACTGGCCCAATTCTCAACGTTGTCATCTTCAGACAGCAAATCAGTTGTCGACGCTGATGGTACAATAGTCACTTGATCTTGATGCATTTGGTGTAGACTAAGCTTTTTGTCTTTCGTTTGGAACAATCTCTGTCCCACAGACGTCAAATCCATCTCCGTATGTGACAATTCCCATTTTCCAGACGGCTCTTGTTCCACTTTTGCCCCTAAAGTCCGCGATAATATTTGATGACCAAAGCAAACACCACTGAACTTCATATCTCTTCTTTCAATCCAAAGATCTCGCAAGAATCGGAGCAATTGTTGGATCCATGGGTCATCTCCATGAGCATCGTACATGCTTCCTGTGATCAATATGGCGTTGATCGATGGATCAACGTCGGAGACTTGAGGAACGTGCCCATGATGGCCATTTTCAGGATCATCGACAACATAGTGCATCTCTGTCTCTATTTTCAAGGGTGGGTCGTGTTCTTTTCCAGCATCTTGGAATAGAGCGTTCAAGATATCACTGTATCCGCCTTTTTCGTCTTTGATATCAGGATGCGGCGAATCTGTCTCAAGGACCAGCATTCGAACTGGGTCTTCGGATTCCTGAGTTGCCATTGTTGCAAAGCTCATTTAATCAAGTCGAAATCTATGCTGTGGTGGAATCACTCGAGTTGAAGGGAACGGTCGCTGTCTTGCCGCTGAATGATGGATTTTCTCTTCGCTCCTTGTTGCAGTATAAGGCGCGCAAATTATTCAGGACGAGGATTCGTGCTGTTATGTATCTGGGATATGTCTCATAGGCAAGAAATTTCGAGTCATCATGGACAATGACGAGGTTCTCCACACAGACTAGGCTCGGCTCTTAGCCAGTGCCGAGCAAATTTTGGCACCAGCATAGTATGAAGCGTCACATTTCCCGTCATTTGTGCTCTGCAGAAGCTCCCCGTACCAATTTTATCGATTTAGAAGAGAACTTTTGTCTCCGTACAAGACTAGAAAAGTTCCTATGACCTTATGCCAACTTCGGAAGCCAAGACGCCAGGCTTTTCAGGTTAGCCCGTCAGTGACGTCGATCGCTCGATTTTCCCTCAGCCATCTAGGCTAGGATAGGATACCAGTATTCAAACTTAGAAAATTGGAACCGTATTCTTGGAACCTTTCTAGGGAATCATTGGCCAACATTTAAGTGTTCAAAATTTCAAAACGCCTTGCTTGGTTGAATGATGGAAATTCTCGTCCAATTGAGAACTTTGTAAGATTGATCCACGCTCGGGGGCTCAATAACTCTACTAAATTAGTTTTGGGGGAGAATGAGGGGATCTTCTAATTTTATCATTTAACGTGCTATTCAAGTACCAAAACCATTTCGTAGTAGTTGATTTCCGGAAATGTCTCGTGGATCTACAGCTAGGCCAGCCTGTGGGTCTCGGGGCGGGATGTCCATTTTCGATATGGCAAATTCCCTACTGAATCAACTATGGAAAGAATCATCCGCTGGTGTGTCAATCGAAACGTTTCTCGATATTGACATCAGAGAACTCTTCAAAAGTTCCGTACAAAGTGCGACAATCAACGACCTCTTTGGCTGATGAGACTTTTACATCCATTGCGCGTCCATCTTTTCCTGGCTTTATATATATTCATACAACAAAGTGTATAGTTATATGAAATCCAAGTACAGTCTTCTTTGTCAGTGTGAAGGAATCGTGCTTATCTTAATAAGCTGAGTCTTAGGTCTGGGCGGGGACTATGTCATTCATATGAATGATTCCACGAATCGGGGTTGACTTACCCCCAGGAATGGAATGTGCAAGGACCTCATGCACAGCGGCTCCGACAACGTTGTAAGATACAAGTATGTACCCAGTACATATTGCTAAATCGCCTTATCGGCACACTTTTCGTATCTCACAGTACGGTGCAATTCTGAATCTGGTTCGCAACTTGGTGAAAACCTGAACAACAAACACTTTTAAAGGCTATTTCAAAGCTAATTTGAATCAGATATTGTGAGATTTTGCCAAGCTTCGGACTCTCAGAAATTTGTCGATTTTTCCAATCAAAATTGAAATACTAAAAGCTTTCAGGTGTCAAAAATGGGAGTCCGGCTTTATCACCTGGCCTGGATGACCCACCAGTTCCTTCAGCGTTCAATATATTCCGACAGGGGTAAGGATCAGCTGTATACTCGGTTGTAGCGGACGTGAGATCCATTTTGTCATGTTACATTTGAGCACATAGCCCTGCTAGAATCTTGGTGTTCTACAGCTGCATTAGTAGTCGTCTCGAGATCTTCTTCCAACACACCATCCAGAAAATGTTCTTAGTTATAACACCTCCACCGCAGCTAAAACGAGATCCCATTACAGGGGAAGAAACTTCAATACCATTACGAAAGCGAAGAGGATTGCCAAAAGTTCACTCGGGTTGTACAACATGCAAGTATGCCTCCCCGAAAAGCCTACATTATTTTCCCCCTATGCCTAACAAGCACCAGAACTCGACGAATTAAATGCGATGAAGGTAATCCAGAGTGCAATCGCTGTAGAATATTTTATAAAGGCACATCTCAAAAGTGTAGCTATTTAACACGTGAAATTCCAAAATCTAGAGTCGCAATCAGGACGATCCTACCGAAGGAGGTCGCGAATAGTATCGGGCAATCACTTTTCAGTCATGGTCCCATAAACAGTGTTTCCGATATCACATTCGAAAGTCCAAGACACTTTCAATACTTTCGGTTTTTCTGTAGTGATGTTACCACTCAAGTTTTCGGTGGATTCTATTCTGAACTGTGGAGCTGTGTCATTCTTCAAGCATGTCATGAGGAACCATGCATTCTCCAAGCCGTTTGTGCAATTGGGGCTCTCAGTAGGGTCATGAAAGCGCGCAAGCAGGGCCATCTTATGACGATGAATGATGATTATAGATTTGCCATACAGGAATATGGTAAAGCTCTTGGAGGAATCAAAAAGCTCATACCTATCCGAATGACTTTACTTGCCACATTACTCATATTTTCCTTTGAGAACTTTCACGGAAATCAAATGGCGGCGATAACTCAAATCCAAAGCGCTGCGAGTTTACTGCAGGCATGGATGAAAGGCCGCGAAAAGCGTCAGATAACGGATCAAACAATATCACCCGCCCCGAATATTATTGAAGACGCCATTTTTGCCACGTTTCATAGCACGCATATTGGGTTAGTTTCTGCCATCGATCCCACGATTGCACAAGCACAAGATATCATACATGGAACTCAAATGTATATTCCCAGCCTGATTCCAACGCGATTTACAAGCATCGATAATGCAGGGGCAAATTTCACGGCAATTTGCAAGCAGGTCATCAGCTTTCTCATGAGCACAGTAACACTTATCCGAGGAGGAGAAGAGCCCACGGAAGATAAAATATCAGATTCGGCAATATGGAATCATCGAATGCTCGATTGGTCTCCAGCAGCGGTTGAATTCAAGGAGATCTTAAACAAACTTGATCAATGGCATATTGCTTTTGAGCCATTGGCCGCGCGCGTGAGAGAAGAAGATGCCGAAATTATGAGAACTCGTGTGTTAGGAGCGCACTGGCTAACAACACGTAATAGCTTTCATTCGGCTTTCTTTCCACATACTCCTGCTCATTTCTATCAAGGCAGCTTTGAAGAGGTCGTGGAAATTTGCAAAATAGTTGCTGCTCATCCAAATTTCGAAAAGGGATTTGTGTTTCATGCTGGAATCATACCATCACTCATGGCAGCGGCGATGTTCGGGGTTAGTTCTACCCGGAAAAAGGCCATAAAAGTACTGCTAGATATTGTACCTAGGAGAGAAGGTAACTGGGATGCTGCAATTTGTGCCAGAAATGCTATTGCTGCACTGAAAATGGAATATGATAAATCAAGACAGGCTACTCGGGAAACGAATAAGGTCGTGGAGGATGTGTAGAACACAATGTCAGGGAACGCTAAGACATTAAGAAGATTGAGTGCATCCTACTGCACCATTCCCAAAAAGAGGATACATCCAGCATCGAGATGATAGGTATGTTGGCAGAATTGATACAACCGAGGATCTCTCGTCTAGGAGAGGGTGGGACAACATCTCGCTTCATTCGGTTTTGCATACCTTTTGATTAGCAGCACATTGGGTCGTTTGAAGCCGAGAGATTTTGGTTTTCTGCATACATTATTTGCTCGCGCAACGGAAAGGGACTTTTAGAGTTTAATGTTGTAGATGTATTATTGCAGGCAATATGCAGCGAGTTCGAGGTATATCTGCTCAACACACACTGCTTTTGGCAGTTTGCTTGTTTGCTTGTAAACAACTGGATACTAGTCATTGTTCAATTGGATTGGCTCGCGGATATTAATTTGTTATTCTTCTTATGTTTTTCAATTCAAAAACATGTTCTATCTATTTCTAATCTTGTTTTTCGCTATTTCACTAATTCTGTTGTGGTTGTTCGAATGGTAGTAGATATCTGATTGAATTCAAAACAATGTATCAGGCCACCCCGGAATATTGAGATCCTTCCCCAGGCCATCGATTTAGAATCTTTCCAATATCCCAGTACAGTTGCCTGGTAGCTGAATCTAAATTTTTTGTTTGTTTTTTTGAATAGAAATGATTAGGCAGGAAATTCCTAATGCAATCAAAAACGAGAAAAAAAAGTGATAAGTTACACAAGATGATGCTGGTATCCGGGATAAAAACAAACGGAGAAAGCAAAACCAATATACACCAAGTTTCATGGATAAGTTCCTGCAGGCAGTTTACGCTCAAAATAAGTATCTATTGGGTTTCAGTGCGTGCGAGTACCCCGCTGTTGTTGCGGAAGAAATGTTCGATTGTGAATATCTTGGAAATAAGATCAGAAGAATTCAATGTACTTGAAGTATCTTTGAGATAGAGATGAAGAGATAACAATTATGACTATTGTTCTTAGCTGATCAAATCAGTTTAGAAATGAATGATCTGCTATACAGAATAGATTGGAAATTTGTTTCAATGAAAAAGAGTTATCCCTCACTGTGTTACGGCCTTTACAAAATAGAAACGTGACATTGAATTATTTGACTTTATTCCGACTTCAATTAATAGATAACATCAAGCTTGCAGGACTTCTAGAGTACCGAAACTTGATTTTCCCATTGCAGCTCTTTCCTCCCGCTTCTTTTGGCTATTCAGGATTCACTTATTTAAAGTCCCAAATCTCGACCCATTCTCGCACATCCTTCTTCTTCCTCACAAACTCAACAACCTTCTACAACTTCCATCAACTTCAACAATACTCTGATCAATCATCTATTTTCATCTATCGCATAACATTCTTGAATACTGTGAGTAATTTCCTATTTCTATTATCATTCTCTTCAATAGAAATGATCATGATCTATGAGGGACTGATACTAACTTGGATTTCTAGATCGTCGTCGTCGATATCGCACAAAGCGCCCTCTCCACAGCAACTACACTTAACAAGAAAACACCCACCCAACCAAGTAAGTTATTATTCTCTTACTCCAACAACTCTCTATTATCGAACATTCCCATCTATCAATATACTATTCTTGTCAGTCTTGACAAATAAATTTTCTTCATAATTGTCGCAAAGTGCGCTGTTTGGATCTCCCGATCTTGTTCACCTTCACTTGAGCATACTCAGAATTCACTGTTGATCACGCACTAAAAATATTCTCCATCTTTCGTTGTCTCTTTCTCTCATCACCTCTTTCATTTCTTCTTGCTTTTCCAAACATAATCTTCCACTTCCCACTCCTCCACCCTTTACATACCTTTGCTACTCCGACTTACCAGTCTATTCGACTATCCAAATTCAAAGAACCATACTGATTTATCCATTTGCAGCACTTCCAATACCGCAGCTATGCCAAATTGGAAGACGTACGAAGCAACCGGTATGTTCATGGAACGATTACCTTCTCTCTTACAACTATACTCACACGGTAATAGTTCGCCTCCTCAGCGCCATTGTCGCTGCCCACCCAAACCTCAAACTCGATTACGCAGGTTAGTGATCAATTTCATCCAGAATCCGCCCTCCTTCTCAGTTTTAGCCCTGCACAATTTCAATAATTCTTCAAACATTTTTCTTTTGTCTTTGATCCCTGATTTTGCCAGCAATATCCAAATACTACGGGGATGAGTCAAATTATCAGCAGATTTGGCGCGGTATGAATGGTATAAAGCGAAATGCCGAGAGCCTCCGAAAAGCAGTCGATGCAGGTCTCAATGCGTCTACCGTCGATCTCGAGAATGATTTTAGCGTTAAGAAAGGTATCATTCATCATGGACTATAAGCTATTATTATTCACTTTTTTCTTCACCCACAATGAAAATTTCGCGGAAACTCCTCCTCGTTTGTGTATTGATTTTCATATAGCAATCAGCGTTCGCTTTGGTGGAGATTGCACCATCTCTGCACTTGACAACAGATTTAGGCGTCTGAAGTCCGATGCTAAGCTGATCAATGCTGCCGTTGCCAAAGGAGAAGATCCTATCCTCATGAACGTGGGAGATACAAAGGGAGAAATTGCCTGCAAAGGAAAGGGTGGGAATGAGTTGAACTTTTTCGTCTCTCCAGTTCCATATCACAAGAGCACAGATTTGTCAATTTTGCCTACACTAATGCTGCATTAGCGATTCCTGAACTTATGGGATCAGCAACTCCAGCTAGTCACATCTAATCGCAGCTTCGAGAGACCATCAAACCTCTTGGTGAACGCTTGATTGCCATGCGTGATCCCGACGAGGACTGTAAAGATGTCGATTTGACAGACTTGGGTCCTCATCGATATAAGGCTGGTCAGGAAGTTCTGTCCATGTTTTCGAATCTTTGCTCTACATTTTAACACCAAGCACATTTCCTTCTTTTCGAATTCCACTGATATTCCCTTAGAGATTGCTGCAAAGATGGGATCAGATGTCACTCCTATTAGTGTCAAAGCACAATTCAGTCGAAGCTTCAGAGTTCTGGCTGCTCGTCAAAATGCTTTATGTGCTGTTGGCAAAGACCCCAAGGATGCCAATTTGGACGGATTGGGTAGTCAACAGAAGACTGGTGATATTTTTATTCTTAAAACAAGCTCTACTCATGTTTTGCGGAACACTGCCATACCCACCAATCACACTTTCTTTATGTTTGCACAAAACTGATCTTAAGTCCAGAGGTTGCCAAGTACATGGGCTCGGATGTCACTCCCACAGCTATCAAGATGCAGTACAATGCATCCATCAGAGCTCTTTCCCGCCGTCAAATAGCTTTGTTTGATGCCGGTCAAGATCCTTTGGATGTCTCTTTGGAGAAACTAAAAGGTGGTCGGAAGTTCTGTCAATTATTTGCTTCTGGATTTTATGATCACGTTTCACTACATTAGCTTGTTGATTTTCATTCTGTCTGGGCACCACTGATATCACATCATTAGAGACTGCGAAGGTCATGGGATCAGACATTACTGCTTCATCTCTCAATAATCACTTTCATCGTACTGTCAAAGTTCTTGGCAATCGTCAAATGTGGATGCTATCAACGGGTCAAGACTCTAAGAACGTTAGCCTTGATGGTCTAGGAGGTGGTCAGAAATTCTATCATCTATTCTACGGTTTTCATGGGCAATTTCATCACAGCACAGCACAACACATGAATTCTTTCAACCACAATTGGCCAGCACTGACACCTTGACGGTTAGAGATTGTTGCAATCATGGGATCCGATGTTACCGTCGAAGCCATTAAGCAACAAATTGGCAAGCGTATCAAGGTTCTAGGCAGTCGCGAAACCAAGATGCGAACAGCTGGTCAAGATCCTAAGAATGTTGACCTGGAAGACCTAATGCCTTCCAAGAAGGAAAAAGGTGGCCAGGAACTCTGTCTATCTTTATCTTTTGTGCTTTTTTCTTCAATTTATATTGAACATCCCCTGGCTCGCTGCAATCATTGTCACATGATGCCCATGGCTGATCAATTGCAGAAATGGACAAACATATGGGAGATTGTACTGCTTCTAGATCTGGTCTTCGATTTCAATTTGATACTCGTTACAAGGTCATTGCCAAAGATCAAAAGGCTATGCTGGCTGTAGACAAATATCCTTTAACGGTTGATATTGCCACTAGTGGCAAGACCGGTTTGAAGTTCTACCATGTTTTACTCAGAGAATCTGATTTTTTATTCTTTTATATCTATACACATATTTATTTCAAGCACATATTAACTCTTGCCCAGAAGTTCAACAGTGTTTTGGTTCAGATGCTTCTGCTGGTGGAATCAAATTCCAATTTGCAACCACCATCAAGAAGAATGTCGACCAGATTCGCAGTGCGAGAGCTGCTGGCAAAGACTGCAAGGACATTGTGTTCAATTCCAATGGTCTCCTCGACTCACATATTCTATTGCGAGGATTAAATACATACATGTTTCCCTAGCACTACCCAATCGTTTTGTTTTCAATATTAATGTTGATCAACAGAAATGGCAAAGCACTTCGGTTCGGACACAGATGTCACCTCAATGAAATGGCAATTCCGCGGCATCAGAGCTGGTGCTAAGATCCAACAAGACGCAGTGCTCAACGGAAAAGATCCCAAGGACTTTGACGTAGCTCTGAATCCTGATCCTAGAAAACGCGGCAATCAGGGCGAGTGTTCTTTGGAAGCGATATTGTTTCGTTGCTGTTTCATTTGATCTATGTTCTGTTAAGAAATGACATGAAGAATACATCATCAATCTGACCCATCATCTAGAAATCAGCAATATGTTCGGCAAGGACTCTACAAGAGGCGGAATTGAGTTTCAATTTCGAGCTTTAAAAGCCAATGCACATCGCCAGCGCGAAGCGTTCGAGGCTGGAATTGATCCATAAACCCTCAATATTGGTACCATCAAATGCGAGAATTTCCCCGTTGCCCTCTCCTAAATTTCATTTTGTCATTAGCACATACCTTTAATTTTTTAATTTTTATTGGAAAAACTCAGGTCAGATATTAATATACATAATAGCAATGGCAAAGTGGTTGGATGATGGCACCACCATAGCTGCTCTGGAGCATCGATTTCGACCAATCAAAGCTGCTGCTAAGAATGATCTTGATATTTTCTACCCCTTTCACCCTGGTGTTGATATCACACACCTACGCCTTCATATTTCATTTTGTCATCGTCAATTTACCACTACCACTCATACATTGAAGGAATATTTCACTAACATCTCTCAGCCACCGCCGAAAAATTTGGTGATGGTGTTACAGGTAAGGCTGTTTCCACTCGCTTAGAAAGGTAGGTATTCGCTCTCCCCTTTTTATTCACAAATAACGAAACTAACATAAACGACAGAATGCGCAAAGAACCCGCTTGGGATCTTGATTCTCCACCCGGTACTAATGATTCCCTAGGTACAACACCCAAGAAGGCTCGTGCTCAACGCACCCCCAAGAAATCCGCCAAGAAGGCTGCTACATCCAGCAATGAGGGAGATGATGATAGTGACATGGATATGGCTAGCCCATCCAAGAAAGGCTCTCCAGTGAAGAAGGAAAACCTCAACAAAGTTAAAGGCAGCCGCGTCGAAAAGAAACCCGCTACTCCTAGCCGTGCTGCGAAGAGTAATATCAAGAGCTATGTTGATTCCGACGACGAGGGAGACGATGATTTGATCATCAAGGATGAGGATGTCGGAGCTTATGATTTTGGTCGCGCCGCAGATGGTGATGAGGATATGCTTGGTGGTGGTGGATTTGGGGGACATGGTCATGGAAATGGTCATGTAATGGAAGGTGATGATGTGGAGGAGGAAGATGTTTTCTACGATGATGAGTCTTAGATTTTTCGGGATTGGGGAGGAGATGATATGATGGAATGGAGTATCTAATTACGCGATGACAACACACGATCACGGATTCATGCGGCGGTATTTAGGATCCTGGATGATGCACTTTCATCGCGAAGATACGACAAGACAACCCTCTTCATCGTCCGACTTTCCTCAAATTCTCGATGTGACACTTTCCTCGCCTATTCTTCACGCAAATACTTCATGATTACCTTCGATTGAGATAACCTCATCTTATTATGCTTTCGACTTTTGACTTTCAATTTCCAATTCTTTCTTTTACAGTTTCCTTCATCGACTTGCTTTCTCTCCCTCGCCTGGGTACTTCGCTATCACATTCGCATAGCAGAAATTTCCCTCCTTTCCTTTCGACAGGTTAAGATTGTGCTTTGGTCATCTGATTTCATCGCTTTCTCTTTCTGAGGCTCGCAACAACAACTCAATGAGCTCTTGAGAGAGCAGCCAACTCTTCTCTGGTATCTACTTACTGGAGAGAGATACCTTTGAGCTCTCTGAGTCTGCGGTGTTATTAAGCAGCTTTGGCTGCTGGTGGATGGATACAAATGCTGTTAGCATGCTCGAGAACACTCACTCGCTGGATCCAGCGTTCTTCAACTCGTCTTGATTTCTCGCGCGGGGGGTGCAATACAATGCGATTCAATGCTTTACGACAAGATACGATACGAAACAATACGAGAGGATAGGACACAACAACTCGCGACTTCCCCATCCACTTCAAATCAAATCAATTTCTTTCATTTCTTTGGTCCGCTTCAGGTGTTTCATATCTCTTCGTTTATTCATTCGGTTCGGTCTGGATAGTCAGTCAGTTCGCCAATCAGTCAGTTGGTTAGTCAGTTACTCGTTTAATTCAGAATGGTGGGATTTGGAGGAATATCATAGTCTCACTCTCTCTCATCTGCTACACCCACTCCATTCACTCCATCCACCTCCAAAACCTCAGGATATCAGATTATCAGCGAATGATTCCGAATGACAGGCAGATGAATAGAAAGCAGATGGCAGACAGACACAGATAAACGACAAATTGTTCCGTTTAATCTCTTCAGGATCGGGTGTTATGAGAATTATGAGAATTCATTATGGTTAATCAATGATAGTCCAGCCAGAATGAATAAAAGTTTTGCGAGGTTTTTATTATCTTTGAAGTTTTGAGTTTGTTTGGATGTGAGTCGTAAGTGATGTGTGAGATATGTGTTGATCGCGTTTGAGTGTGAATGTGAGGAGAAGGAAATAGATCCCCAATAAATTCCATGTCAAAAATAACAGAGCAATAAAACGACGTTAGAATTTTGCAAGGAAAAACCAGGAGAATTTCCGTTCTCTCAAAATTCATATAATAGTACTCAATCTCATAATTCATTCTCCTAAACGCCCAACACCATAACTAATCCCACCCACCAATCATGCATGCAAGCGACTAATTCATTCCAATCCACAAGATGCATCCGCATCCGCCTCCAAATCCAAAGCAGCCATGCAATCAATAACCATTCTGATGCGATTTCCCATCTCCAGCTACCATCTTACTAATTCAAGAGAACATCCCACAATCCCTCTCCCTCCACATAAGCATGATGAATAACATTAACCAACCAAACATCCTCTTTAATGCCATCAATAATCTTCCTCGTTTGACTATCCTTCCCATAAACTCTTGCCCATTCTCCCCAAATGCCAAATGCTTCTTCCGTCCATGCTCTAAAACTAACTTCCTCGATAATCGTTGGTGTAATGATTTCTTTTCCAGGAAATGCACCCCATGTAACTGCATTTGTGCTTCCGACCGCTTTATCACTGGATATGAAGTCTCCTTTAGCATTTGAAGCGTAGAAAGAGACTATATCACGGAGTTCAGGGGATGTAAGTTTAGCCTGTAGAGTTATCCAATCTGCTGTTGGAAGGAAGAGTTCTACGAATGCTTTTTGAAATACGAATCCATTTTTGGGTCCCCATCCAAAAATTGAGTCTGAGGATTTGAGTCCGTTGACTGCAGGTTGGGAAGCTACCGTCCACCAACCTTTCTTATTGAGGCTGAGGAGTTGCTTTTTGATGGAGTTGGTTTCTTCATTGAGGCCTTCCTCACTCCAAGGAATGGCTGTGAGTTGACCTTCTAGATGACGAATGAAGATGTCCGTGATATCAGCTCTGGAACCTGGATGCCCCCAAAGTTTGATAGCTTGATTAATAGACATGTGGAGTGAAACACCGTATCCATCAATCTCTCCATAAGCAGGAGAACGAGCATCACCCCAACGACCGTTAGGAAAGTCATCCCATGTGGCCTCCCGACCAAGACTACCTTCTCCTTCACTAATCGCAAGCGTATTGGCTCGAGAGTTGACAGCTTCAGCTGGAATGCCAGCTTCTAGTGCTGTGGCTTCAAAGCTAGGATTGGAGGTTTGAGGTGCAGTAATTATAATGCGATTATAAGGATCCGATCCAACAGATGATCGACGTCTGGAGCTACGTTTGTGAGAACCACTATGAATAGACACCAAATCTGCAATATCAGGAATCGTAGGAACATATTCTGGCTCCAAAGCGGCGACGGTTTCAGCGTCTGGAATAAGTTGTGTGCGTTCCAAAATGAATGATACCGCTTTCTCTAAATTGAGGGTGTAGAAATGGAAACCTTTAGGACCCGAGTACTGAGATTTTGTGCTCTTCAAATGCTCGACCATTTCGCTCAAAATATCCACTCCTACTTTTTTGACCATCTCATCATCTCCTCGAACCGCATCCAATCTTGTTATGATAGTTGAGGGTAACTTCGCGTGGCTAAGTTTCGTAGTTCGTTTGATCATTTGATAACTTTGAATTGGCATCATGCCAGGTATAATAGGGATATTCTTAAATGCGCCACTAGGGTGCTCTCGTAGCTTTTCTTCAAATCCATCGTATGCATCGACATCGAAGAATAATTGTGTCATGATGAAATCCGCGCCCGCTTGAACCTTCTCCACCAAGTATGGCAAATCATGTTCCAGGCTTTGACCCTCTGGGTGACCTTCATCCGCATGTCCTTCTGGGTATGCCGCCACTCCCACACAAAAGTAATCGCCGTATTGTTTTCTAATATATCGTACCAAATCGATTGCCCACTCAAACTCCCAATCCATAGCAGGCGTATCACCATTCTTCTCATCAATGGCACGATATTCCTCACTCCTAGGGGGATCGCCCCTCAAAGCCAATATATTCCTAATTCCCAATGCCTTTGCATCTTCCAATGCTTGGTCCACCAATGCTCGACTCATGTTTGTGCAAGTCAAATGTAGACACGTTGTGAGGCCCAAATCCCTCTGACATAACTCTGCGAGTTCTAAAGACTTGGTCGCAGTTGATCCACCAGCTCCCCATGTAACAGTGACAAATAAAGGTCTCAATGCTCTAGACATTCTATCAAGACGAGCACGTAGATTCGAGGAACCCATTGAGGTCTTGGGTGGAAAGAATTCGAGGGAGAAGTAATTGGTGCCAGGAGGCAATGCCGCGATCTTTTCTGTGATTTTCTCCATTTTGTTGTGATTGTTCTTGCACAGATATTCTATCAAATGCGATTATTCGAATTTGCCTTTGAATTGATGAATTTGTTTCTTGTTGTGTTCTATTTTCGAAATCGTTCGTTGGTTTTGTATCATGTAGGTATGGATGTATGGTAAGGCTGGCTGTTTTGATGTGGCGGGGCTACTATTTTTTCCTTCAGGTGGGATGTGATGAGGGCGATCAAATGACATTAAAGAATAACGAAATACGGCACCAAAACTTGATACAATTGGTGGTTTCGATGCAATATAAGCCAACAAAAGAGAATTATTTGGAAATATATCTTCATTCTAGGTTTCTTGCCAAATAATCTCGTAGATCAGGTTACATAGAACGTCATTTAATTAATACAATTGCTTCCAATCATTGTGCCTTCGTAAATATGAGCTTACAGGTTACAGATAAGCCGTGATTGTTGTTGATCAAAGGATTCATCAAAGAATTCTACGAGGTCATACAAAGATGGTGGCACCTTTCCTGTATAATGTTGAGTATTGCTCGACGTTTTTGTTGTCCAGGATTCGGTGAATTGTTCCCAGAGAAAGTGTCACGAACATTCTGTCAGGCTAGCCACAGTGTATTATTATATAACTTCATACTGCATTAAAGTGCTAGCAACTTGTAACAGCAGACTTGTGGAAGTATTCTATCTATCGATATAAGTCTGATGTATTGTACAGTTGTAAGCCGAGTACTACCATACTTTACAGCCTGTTGCAGATAGACCTATCTTCAGATCCTAACTCCACACAAGTCCCTTAACCAATCTTATTCCCTTAATTTATTGACAGCCAAAGAGATGCCTTGGTGAATCTATCCTCATCTCATCTTTCCCAAGTACTCCTTTCAACCCATATCTTCTTATTACTTACGAGCAGCAGCTTGCAAATCCTCCAAAACTCTCTCTACAATATCCCTCTTCCGAACATAATCCATGTTGAAATAATCCATCCAGACTTTGCGGCAAGACCATGTTTGGAAAAATGAATTTGTTACCCAAGTTGGTTCAACAATAGATGGCCGTGGTGGCGGGCGGTTAGGATCAGGAGGGATGATCGAAGTCGAAGTGTAACCCCAGTATTCAATAGTGGTATACTTAGTCTTGCGTGGATTGCGGGTGACGGTTCTGATCTTTCCCGATAAGGTGAAATCATCTGGTGGAGGACGGCATTCGGGTCTCGGAACGGTGATGTACGGATCTTCTTTTCTTTTGGCGAGCCAACGACCAGCTGGTAGGTCTTCCGGCTCTGGAAGTTGGTTGGTTGGTGCTCGGATAACTTCCTTTTCGGTTGGAGATTTTGGAGATAAATCTTCTAAATTCGAAGCACGTGTAATAGTCATAAGACTTGTCGATTTTGTGACCCTGGCAATTTTACGTGTAATCTGCGCCTGGAGATGGTCGCTAGTCTGTGATGCAGCCT